AGAGTAGAACTTAAGCTTATGACAGATATAGATGAGTATTTAATAATTAAAAATGGAATCTGTGGAGGAATGACAATGGTATGTCATAGATATGTCAAAGCAAATAATCCACAATGTCCAGACTATGAGCCCAGCAAGCCGAAGTCTTGGGCCTTATATGAAGATATGAATGCCTTATATTCAGGTGCAATGACCCAATACATACCCACAGAAATTCTAGATAAGGTAAGTCCAGAGGAAATACCAAATATCCAAAGTATTGCACCAGATGCAGAAATAGTGTATATACTTGAAGTTGATCTAGAAGCCCTAGTGCATTTGCACGATTACTTTGCAGATTATCCTTTAGCACCAGAAAAGCAGATAGTATCAGAAAACTGGCTTAGTCTATACAATGAAATGTTAGTGCATAATAAAAACATTGGAGAAGGAAAATATATATCTAGAGAGAAGCTAGTTCAGACTCTTTTTACTAAGAAGAATTATATAGTTCATTACCGAGCTCTCTAGACATATATTAAGTTTGGAATGAAGGTTACAAAGATTCATAGCGCTCTCAAGTTTAGGCAGTCTCCATGGATGAAGAAATATATTGAGGAAAATATTCGTAAACGCAAAATAGCCAAGGCAAATAGGGAAGAGTTTGGGGTCATGTATTATAAGCTAAAAAATAATGCAATCTTTGGCAAACAGATGGAGAATGTCCGTAAACATATGAGAGGAGGATAAAAAAATTAGGCGATTAGTAAGTTCGCTATTATTTGTAGGCTTCAAGCAATTTGAGGGAGGTATTATAGCAGTCCATATGTTAAAGAGCACAGTAATACTAAATAAACCAATCTATGTAGGGCAGACAATTCTTGATATTAGCAAAGCCATGATATTTAATTTTTGGTATGGTTACATAAAGCCTCGCTATGGAGATAAAGCCTATTTACTTTATACAGACACAGACTCACTCATCATGTGGATAGAAACTGAAGACATATATAAAGATCGAGCAGAGAGGCCAAACATTTTTGATCTTAACTATTCAGGTGATTTATTTCTAATGAAGGATGAGACAAAGGGCATACCCATAGGGGAAACAGTATGTTTAAAGCCAAAGATGTACT